AAATTATACAAATCACACTACTGGTATGCCATTTTATATTTATACCATACTTGTCTGATTTAGCAGCATGGGTATCCATGGGTAGCTCAAAACTCAGTACAAGTTGTACAAGTATGGTATATGCTATTGTGAGTTTAATGTCTGCGTTTATAGTTAATATGGGTGCCGAGTGGGGCACAAAACAAATGCACAAGTTCAAAGGAATTACCTTTTGACCTTTGGGGGATATGTTACCTGTGTTAAAATTCATTTGAAAAAAGTAGTACCCTAATTAATGTACTATCAAATCACTGAGCAATACTTGGGATTACTCTTTAGTTCTCAGTAATTACCTGATCAAAATTAAATTGTCAGTTACCTGTTTCTGTTGCCATGGAGACTAAGATTAACTTTTGGTTTCCGTTTTGACTCTTCTTTTAATTCATCAAATGTAAATAATCCTAAGGTAGCACCTTCAGCAACAGCTACAAAATAATAATCAGAAAATTTTAAAAATCTGATCAGATATCATATTTTGTAGCTTACATTACCAGCCTTCACAGTACTATACTATATTTTACTGCACATATATTGATGAGTCATACACACCTATTGATGAGTCATACACACCTATTGATGAGTCATACACACATACATTTGTACTGATGAGTTATACACAAATATTGCTGACCAATCATATATCACCTTGTGCATCAGTACATGGATCCAATTCTATTTGTTTCATTCCTGCATCTCGTAGTTGCCTAGCACCCAAAGCGGATGCAGCTCTAATATTCTCCTTAGATTCATTGACTTCTTCTAGTTCATCGATGCCCGCAGACTGTTTACCAAGACTAACCACTGCTATTACAGGATATTCCTACAGACACAGAGAAATCATTTATTCGTCACCACACATTGAATAGTTTAGCGCTGTAAAATTCAAAATATAAATATCATAATAATTCATTTATACATATAAAAAATGACACATTATGCGATGTCACAGATTCGGTGGATTAGCACAGTAATACAGAATGTTAATAGTCAACCAAAGACAAATCCTCATAGGTTGGCCAATTTATGTGCAGGAGCCAATTAAACTGTCTCATTTAAATTTTAAGACTGATTTCAAGATAAAAACAGTTTGGTTTATAAGTACATGACACATGAGTTTGTTGACCCCAGCGAATTTCAACCTCAGTCTTGTACATAAAAATCCTGAAAATTAAAAAACATTTTAAAAAATATTTACAATTTATTACCTTGTCAAGTCCATAAAACACTTTGCTTTTTCCCTTCTTCATTTTGGGTCCAGATCTACATAAATTATTAATAAGTTAACAAACCCATGTTAATATTTATAATAAACCCAATCGCTTTCATTCAACTTCAAGGGCGGCGTTTGGATTGGCTGGACAGGTGCCTCCCTCTATTCCACAAGCACTTGTGCAGCTATCAGATGAAAGTTAGAACAGCCAAAGTCACTGTACATGATCATACAATATGTAATGTTCTTTGAGTTTATAAATACTTAGTGTATAAATAATTTATAACATACAGGGTAAATAGGGGCAACAAATTGATCACAATTCTTTGAAATTGTTTCAAAAGTGTTGCGTAATTTTTAATTTATTTTATTTTGATTATGACATGTTTTAAATTTTGGGGGATTTTCCAAACTCCGAATTTTTTTTCTAGGGAAAAATTGCCTGGAAAAAATAAAAGTTTTGGTACAATTTCATGTTAAAAGTTTTGGTTTCTAATGCATGTTAAAATATTATTTCATAAAAAAAATTAATAAAACTATATAATAAAAATTAATTAAAAAACATTTTTAGTTATGGTGAGCACTTTTACCATAAAAACCAATTGTATTTGGAGCAAAAATCTCTATTTTCATTGAGGTTTGAGCTGTGTCTTTTGCGAAAAGCAGTTTGGTGACCATAAATTTTTTTATTTGGGCTTGGTGAACAAAGTCATATAGAAACACCATAGTGTGAAACAGAAGGGAATCTGGTCATTTATTTCAATAGTAGCCAAATACAGACAGTAATAACTTGCTCACATGTTCAGTAACTCAGCCAGTCTTCCATCAGTTCTTTTGTTGAATGACTCAGCAGCAGGTGTAAGAATAGCATTGCTTTCCTCTTTGGTACTGTTCTCATACACACCAAGTACAATACCTTTCTGTAAAGGGTATAGAGTACTGTATCATTCAACTGAAATATCAACTATTTGTGAACTTATACAACTATTATAATATAGGCTATATACACTGAGCACATACATTTATTTTAGATAACCCATGGATGTGTTTGACCAACCACAGCAGCTGTGATTTTTTTGTAACTGGTGTGAACGAATATAATTTTGAAAAGATAAGGTCATTTTGAAAATATATAATTGTGACAAGATCATTTTGAAATTATATTCATTCACACCAGTACACAATAGTGAATTGCAACCTCTCACTTGAATGTAATTCTATATTATATTTATATTCCCATAAATGTACAGTTACAGTGAAGGGCAGAAAACCGGGGTTATTTTATAAATATAAATTTGTAATAAATAAAATAGAAGTTAGAGAAATGGTATTATGACATCATTGTTAGTTCTAATTATTATTAATGAGCTAGTTCCAGATCCAACAAGCCAGTGCCTTATTTTGAATAAGTGGGCAGTCACAGTTGCCATTTCTTGTTTAGCCAATCACTTTAAATATTAAAATTTGAATCAAAAATTTATAATCACAGCCCCATTTAGGGCCATGATTGAGGTAATTGTGACACAGACTCATAGGTAACATCAGAGGTACATTACTTGGGGTTTGCAACTACGGTGACATGATACCAAGATCCCGTTTCAAACTCGCTCTCGCATAAGCGTTCCAACTCAGAAAAATCCGAATGCGCATGCCTGAGGTAACTAGGATACTAGGATGTCCAGATGGAGCAAAATAGCCGTTCACAATAGTACGTTATACGATAACTATATTTTCTATACATTTTCGATGTATTACATTTTTTCACTATGAATGTGGTATTACATGTTTTATTGTTTTATTACAAACCGCCTATGTCATGTCAGAAGGTCGTAGCATCAGTCTTGCTATCTACGAGATGAGACTTAAATGGGATCTTGACATGATGTCACTATACAGTACTATGCGCGTTGCAAACCCCAAGTAATGTACGGTACCTCTGGTAACATGACAAACTATAACAAAAAAGCTTCTCCATCAGAAAACTTCTTTGGATTTTTTTTATAGTGAATGCAGCAGTGTTTGAAGTGAGTTTAAGAACTGACCATCTGGCCACGGATGGTCATAATGTATTACATAATAAATAAAGAAGGTCAACTAACAGGACTGTACAGATCTTGGTTAATTTATTGGTATTTTTATTGTGTGCTTTCGAGTTTTGTCACAAGAGGGCGCCATTTTGTCACCCGAGTTTAATCGTGATCAATCACAGTGTCTATGTAGCACGGAATACTAATAGGATAATTTCTTAATGCCCCTTTAAATTAAATCATAAAGGCTAAAACCAATATTTAAATCAAATTATGTAAAAAATTGCGTGTCGGCATTTGTTTGATAAATTTAGACGCACCGTCAACCAAGAACGTGACTGTGATTCTTAACGTAGATAAATTAACCAAGGGGATTATAAGGTTATTTCTAAAACAGAAAGAGAGAACCGACCTTTGGAATATTCTCGCTTCCATAAAATCTAAGGAAACGCCTATATTTATGAATATAGCGCCGAAAACGACAACAACGCGTGACTACCAAGGGCGCAGCCATCTTTTGAAGGAAGAGAAATCTCCCAGCATTCAATTGACAAAATGGATTCCATCATGGACTAGAAAGTAAATTACACCGTCTGCATTTTGTTTGTTCTTGACATTGCCATGGCTCCTGCGTACTGGATAAACCTGGAATAATTTCAGTATAATGTAGTGAAATTTATCGACGTGTTCATCAAAACCGAATTTCTCATCATGAATGAATTAACGATGTGTGTACAGCATTCAGGATCTCGGCTGGTATCGCTGCTTTGATCGGATTATTGTATGCTGTTTTACTCTCACTGGCTCACACAATGGGTAGTCTATGCAATTTTATCCGCCAATTCACCGACGTGACGTTCCTAACTGCACGGTCTTTGTACTTTAACAATTTCACGTCAAGTTCACTATGCTTGGACACGGCAATGCAACCGATTTTCTGGATAGTCGATAATGTTGTCAGACGACTTGGACCGGTATGTTTACATTTATCCGTTTTTACAATGGTAATACCGTTCTGGTATCAGGTCGTTTGGACCCCTCGCCCTTTCGACCCCTGGACGATTAGACCCCTCGACGTTTCGACCCTAGGACGATTAGACCCGTCGATGTTTCGACCCCTCGACGGTACACCGCTTGGCGCCACAATCCTCACCATTTGAACCCAGCATTATTTGTCAAAAGTTGCAACATTTTACTGGATAAAACTAGAAGATACCTGACTTTGGCAACAGAATCGCGAATTACGGCGATCTCTCGACGGTTGAACCCCTTGTCGTCACAACCCCAAACGTTTGAACCCACTCTTATTACGAATATGAATACTGCCCGATCAAAAGCAACAACCACTTCACTGTATAAAATTAGTTGATAATAATAATAAAAAACATCGCAAATTACAGCGGCTATCTTTTCTGATCGATGCCTGGGCGTTGGAGCGAGTTCAGTCCGCCATGTTGTTTACTGTGGCAAGGCTATTGTTTAGCCATAGGACTATACCATTCGATTCTTAGGGACAGCAATATAGTCAATTAACACATTTCTTTTTTGTTTTGTTTTCAGGAAAAAGTCAATGTTCTTTTTCTTGTAAAGCTGTGATTACCCCAATCAAAATACTAGTAGTTAGGTGAAAATACAAGAAACATATTTACAGCTGGTACATGGTTGTCGTTATTTTATCAAACAGGAAAATGCGAATGTTCATTTGAATTATATTCTGTCGGGTTCATTTCCGGGGCCAAGACAATTTGTAGAAATTCGAATTCAAGTAGGGAATAGACTGCAATGTTCAATAAACACACTAGCAAACATATACAAAGTTGCATATGCTATTAAGAAGGTGCAGTAAATTGAATGGTCCAACAATCGAAGAAGAAAACCAGTAGTTGCGATTTGTTCACATTTGATCCATTCGCGTATTTAAATTACTCGCGTATTTTTTCGTACTTGGTTCACTCGCGTATTTTACCTAATTGATTCACTCTCGTATTTTTTGTACTTGGTTCACTCGCGTATTTTTAGTCCCCGTTCGGACGTAGTCCGAAAATGGGGACTTATGTTTTGCCCTGTGTGCGTCCGTCCGTCCGTGATCACCTGTATCTCGAACATGCATGGACCGATTATGTTCAAACTTCACTCATACATCACACATTATATGGGACATATGCACATGCATTTTTTTCATGATCCGATTAACGATAGCCGAATAGCGGCCATTTTAAGGCCGAAAATGCATCAAAATCGCACATTTTCACCATTCCGGACCCGGATCTCAGTTATGCATGGACGGATTTTGTTCAAATTTGGTACATACATTAAACATAATAGGACCTTGATGCACGTCATTTTTTTTCCCGGATCAAGTTCAAAATGGCCGACTGGCGGCCATTTTGTTTTAAAGAATTCAGTTCTGGATCTGTATCTGAGACATGCCTGGATTGATCGAGTTCAAACTTCACACACACAAGGTACATCATGTTACAAATATGTACGTGCATTTGTTTCATGATCTCATTAACGATAGCCAAATGGCGG